CAAGGAAGCAGCTACATTGTCCAGTTTTTGCATAATGAAAAACTGATATCTGGCAAGAGTGGCTTTGTAATAAGACAAACTCAGACCGAGTCCAGAGGCCGCATAGACTCAGCGTGCCAGAGTATCAATTTTTCTTCCTTCCTTGTCTCGGGGGGTAGTATGTCCCCTGGATTCCCTGCCTTGAGATGACTCAACCACCCTGGAGTTTGGCTTGGGGTGATGTAGAAGGAAAGGTATGTCCCTTTCTCAAACCTGATACATGGCCTCATATCGCCATATGGTGAGCTGTGGCTAAGTTGGCAGTTCCCAAGGCTAGATCATCGCCTGCCGCAATGTTGTGATCAATGGCAGGATAGCAGGTGACTACTCTCCCCTCACAATGTCGTAGAACTTGTCGGTGCTCGGATTGGGCTGGTGTTGTGCCTTGATCTCAAGCGACCGAACAAGCCTCGACATCAGCTCTCCAAACGAGATGTGCGGCTCTTCAGGAGATGCTGGGCCCTGTGATGTTATAGCAACATCAGGAAAGGTGGAGTCTGCCTCGGAGCCGGAGTCGGGTTCGAAGTGGTAAGGGCCTGACGAAGAACTCCCCGGTGAAATTGGGTGTTCAGGCTCTGCCTGTCTTGAAGTAGACGGGGCTTCCCTGCAGACGGAAGGCGAAGAACGGTCCCCTGGCTGCGGGTGGAAGCCAAAGGAATGGTAATCTCCCCAACCCAATGGGTAATTTTCATAGTAGGGTTGGAACCATTCTTCTTCGCGTCGTTCGTCCGAACGTGTTCGGTACCGCAGTGAAGAGGCAGAAGACTGAGCCCTATGCCTGGCCGGCAGCATCAGCGTTGGCGAGCGAGCCATGGGGGGAGAATCTTGGATTTCTCTGTCCAAGATGGACTCACGTAGCGACTCCTCAGGTCGCTCAGGGGACTGGCCCTGCTGAGGAACAGGTTGTCCCGGAGATCCCAGCAGGGTGACCTGCATCGCTGCTTGTAGCATTGGTACTGATGGTGTTGGTACCAATGCAGCTGTCGGGATCGATGGGCCTGACAAACCCGAGTCACAATGTTTTTCTGGCTTATGAGCTAGCTTGCCCGCCTTATCCTTTTTCGCCTTCTTATGAGAAGAAGACTGATCCGACCCACCATGCTTTCTTTTCTCCCGCTGTTTGCGTGGGGGAGAAAGAGGTCGTTGGGCTCCAGATGCTGATGTCCCATTGTCCGATGGGCGTGGCTGAGGCATGGGCGGTGTGGCTGCAGGGCGTTGGCCAGGCGTGGCCGAAGCAGAAGCTGGGCGTTGGCCAGAGGCAGCCAAGGCAGAAGCCAGGCGCTTGGCGGGTGCAGTCGGAGTAGGCCCAGATTTTGCAGCAAACTGGTCCAATTGCATTGCCTGGCCCCAGAGGAGTTTATGCAGGCGGTTCTCCCTGTTTTTATGGGCCTGCTTGGTGAACACCAGACAATGGCAGCATTTGTCTGTTCTGTGCCCCTCGCTGAGGCAGAGGAGGCACAAGTCATGCGGGTCTGCCGGGGACATCTTGGACCCACATTCCGCGCATTTGCAGAAAGCCGCTCATTGCACCGAGAGAAAAAGGGAAGAAATAGGAGATAGTAAAGAGGGATAAGATAATATTTTTGTTTTTTTAGCAAAGAAAAAGAGAGAGAAAGATATAACAAGGGAAAAAACAACTTGGAGTAATAACAATGAAGAACAATAAGAACGATAAGAGTAAAAGGAGCAAATACGGTAGTCAAAGTGGGAGTCAAACAGGCATGAGGCACAGCGAACGGCGGTCACAAAAGACTGGGGAACATGGTGGACACTCCGCTCTATATATACTACTGAGGGGGAGGGGAGCGGAGTTTCCCACCAAAAACTGTTAGCTTTCTAATCTTCTGGTCTTAGGCACTGCGCAGGTGCAGTACCCATATGTGTGATGCACAGAGGCCACAACGAAGGGGAGGGGCTCCTGCCCAAGTAAACACTTAGCTACAGAGTTTTTCCAACAACAGGCTCCATATATGTGATGCACAGAGATCACAAAGGAAATGTCATGTACCCATCTAGTTTCATTATAGGTGGTGGGACTTGTAACAGGGTCTCTGAGGACAGTTGCAAGTGATGGGCAAATCCATAGGGCAGGATGCTGTCCTTCAATTATCCTTGCCTCAAAATGCTTCAGGCTTTTTAGATCAAAACCAACACCTTGAATTGTGCCTGGAAGCAAACTGAAAACCAGTGAAGTTTTTTAAAATATCTGCAAAGTGGTGTACATAGCACATTCCTAACAGATGAAAGGTCAAGGGATTGAGCAGTTATCTCATAGCACCACTTTCCGAGCACACTGAGCCAAATAAGAAAAAAAAAAGTGTAAAATGATGCCAGACTTCTCAGGACATATCATGGCCAATGGTATTAAATTATGCTCAGCAGCCTTTTCCTGGCATAGGTCACCTAACGCGGCTGCCTCTGCACCCAAATTGAACCTGAACCAAATATAAAGGGATCCACATAAAAACAAAAGCAGGAGTTGGGATGCTACCACCCATTCCAAGATCTTACTCAAAAAGAGGGAAATTTCAGATTTGCCAGTACTCATTTTTCAATTTTAAAAATGGATTATTATAGCCAATATGCTATTAGAGTTTATACCTATTTCCATTGTACCATAATTCACAATATTGTTTTCTCCATTCCCTGCAGATCAGCAACACTGTCCTGCACTTTATTATTTGGAAAGGCACAAACATTAGCAACTGACTGCATAAATCATGTAATTATAAATCCTGGTATTTATCCAGGGTGATGCAAGTCAATAAATATTTCCTTAATAAAGGTCTTAAGTGCTTCCATTGGAGGGAATGGGACATGCCCTTCTCTCAAGAAGGCACTTATATTTCCACCACCCACTCAGCCTTCCTCAAGCTTTTATAAGCCACAATGAACAAAAGTCCAAGGATCATTGGGGTGAGATCCCTCCAAGCAGCTTGTTTAACCTCCTCAGATACCACAAACCTTGACATTCAAACTTTAAAACTGGGCAAACAGTTTAATCATCTCTGTATCTGTTTCCAATACAGAGAATATATAGAGAAGGTCTTTGTTATTCTCATTGTCAGGACACTTGACTCATGTTGGATGGATTTGGCCTGAGTTCTTCTCCATTCCTCCTCCTCCTCCTCCTCCTCCTCCTCCATCACCACCACCACCACCACCACCACCACACCACAGCTGAAGCTCTTTGGGTGGCTTACAACAGTCCTTGGAAAATCAAGCAGCATGTAGTAGTGATCATCTCAACATCTGAGAGTAATAAATGAACTGGCAGAAGAGCTCTCAGAACCACTATTATTTCTGAGAAATCATGAAGAATGGGTGAAATGCCAGATGACTGGAGGAGGACTAATGTCCCTCATCTTCCAAAAAACAAAAAGAAGGTTCCTGGATACTGCAGACTAGTTGCAAGTCAATTTTAGTGAGAAACCTAGGCCTATTATCAGATTTTAATCAGTTTTCTCCAATAGTATCTGACATTGCACTGCCTACCCTAGTTGAATATCTTGCCTAAAAAGAGGAATCTCTTCAACTTGATGCAAGTTATTATAGTTACTTGCTTTTAAGGAACACTTTAAAGGAATGGTCACACAACAGCCAGCCACAAGGCAATTGGAATTACATCCTCCTGGCCCCAAACCAACCTCTTCCCCGCTTCCCCGGTAATGATCATGAAGGACAAACATTGCATGGACAAACATACTACACTCCAAGTACTTTGTCTATATTCATCATTACAATAATTGAAATTCATCCAAATAATTATGGTCAGATATATTTCCAGTAATATCTTGTACTCTGCAATCCAGCTTGCATGCTTGCTGTGGTAAAACACCTATTTTCTTATAAAAGCAATTTGTGATATACAGGTCGGTTCCTATCAGGAAAGGCATCCCAGGAAATATTGCAGTTCCAATACATGTAAGGGTTTATAAGGGTTTATAGTTTAAAGCCAGGCATACAGAGAAATTAGAAACAGCGTTCAGCAGTCTCATGTGATTGAATTACTTTTCTTAAGGTTCAGAGGTTGGCAACAAGGGAGAAAGAACCTTCCCAGTTGAGCGTTCCCCAATTATGGAATGCACTCTCTACTTAAGGTTCACCTGGTGCAAACACTGTCATCTTTTTAGAACCAAGTTAAGCCGCCTTTCACTAGTACTAGGGATTTGGTGGCATAAGACAGGGATGTTATTGTCAGCTGTTCTATCAAGTCTTGGTATTTTACTGTTAACATTTAAAAGATTCTAACTACTGAAAGAGTCATGGTAATTTTAAAAAATATTTTTATACTGCATTTTGAGTTGTAATTTTTGTGACCTGCCCAAGAGCTTTGGAGTATTGAAACAAAATGAATCAATGAAATTGAATGAAGCCTCTTATCAGTAGACTGTGAACAACTTAAATAATTCAGCTGACAACACTGTACTGATAGAGATACTGAGAAAATATTTTCCTTTTTGGTGACACAGTTACTTCTGGTTAGTGGCTGGTTGGTCAGGGATCAAGTTTTCCTCTATTCACCTTTCCTGAATCCAAACCTGAAGCAGTATACTAGGAAGTTCTGATCAGTGGAAGAAAGCACCTGATTGTGTCAACAGGAAAATGCCACTCTAAGTAGTCTTTCCCCAGTTTTAGGCAGTAAATACTGGAAGAACAGCTTTATGATGTCAGAAGTATAAGAGTGTATCCTAGAGTTCAGAATAGGCCATAATTTTATTGATTTCTGCTAGACCAAGTGGCACCTGTTGGTTGCTAGAACTCCAGCAAGACATGTCCTGTGTTCTTAAGGAACACTCAGGATCACTCAATGTAGTTATGCCTTAATTGCTGAGTGATCCTGAGAATACAGCCATGCATTCAGAATGTATCACACTGGTGGAGACTGTAGTTTAAAAAGCAAACAAAGACAAATAACCCATTCTGGGCTGTAGTCAGCCTTCCCCTAGTAAAGTTATTACCTGGTCTAAGTGCCTGTCTTTCATAAGTTCATATTCATTTTGCAATGTGTGATCAAGAAGTGTCCAGATGAAATGTTTGAGTTCAGGGTGGTCAGACAGAAGACGCAAACATAAATCATTCAGTCGCATGTAAGCCAGCCAATACACTGGAAGAGAGAGATATTAGAATCCTTTTCAAATCATTATTTAATGTATAATAATATTTGATAACTTTCATCAGTATAGAAATTTGTTATAAAATGTTGTGATTTAGAACACCAAAGTCAAGATTTGGTTCCTGATTACAGTCTACAGGAAACAAGTGCATTTGGAAAATGCACAACATTTCTCAGGTGAAATATATCAACAGTATGCATAAAGGTTTGGCCTTTGTACAGGAAAATATTCTATGGTAATATAGAATCTCTAAGTAAAATTTTAGAAACATGAGTTATATAGCTTTAAAAGCATAAAATAAAATAGAACAGTGAATTTTCTGAGTCTTGTTCAAGCCTAACACTATAACAAAAAGAAAACATGACATAAAAATTAATGCCAACTGTTAACTACATGAAACAGGGCAAGGGTATCAGAGAATATCAGAGGCACAATATGAAGGAGATGGTTGTATAAAGAGGAGAGTTTCAGTTAAGGCACTGGGAAACATTTTGAGGCAAATAGGGCCTGTAGAGGAGGGATAGGCTCTACTTGAACCAGACTGCAAGTGCATAACAAAGGTGGCAATGTATTAAATTGAACCCTGGGGGAAACTAACAGGAGCTGGGAAGCATCTGGTTAGGATCAAGTAATTCTTAGAGGGTGAAGGGATAGCTCAGGAGTAGCCCAAATAAAGCAAGGGAGGAAATTGGCAACAAGCTCACAACAAGCCAGTTAGAGATAACAAAAGTGCCAGAACAAATGCACACAGAAGGAGGAGGGGAACACTGCACTTAGGTATTTCTGTGCAAATGCTGGAAGTCTTAGGGCCAAAGTGGGAGAGTTGGAATATCCAAAGATAAAGGAGGAGCTAGATATGGTGAGCATTATGGAAAACTGGCATGGTAGAGATAACCAGTGGGACACAGTCACTTCTTGATTTAAACTATATAAAAAGACAGGGTAGGGTGAAACTAAAGAGACACTGCCCTCTCTGTTAAAGAGGGCATTGAGCTCAGCAGGCTAGAAAATCTAAAGTGTGAAGACTCCTCCACAGAAGCACTATAGGTAGAAATTTATGGCTCCAAAAGTAACTTAATCACGGGAGTATGCAAGTAGGAAAGCACCCAAAGAAACTGTTGGACCATTGGACAATAATGGAATTAAAGGTGCACTGAAGGGGGAAGAAGAGATCACAGAGCAACTGGATGAATTATTTTCATCAGTGCTCAAAATAGAGGTTGCAGAGTATATAAGCTTCCCTGAACTTTTTTGTTGTTTAGTCGCGAAGTCATGTCCGAACCATCACGACCCCATGGACAACATTCCTCCAGGCCTTCCTGTCCTCCACCATCCCCCAGAATCCACTCAAGCTCACACCAACTGCTTCATCTAGTCACCTCATTCTCTGCTGTCCCCTTCTTCTTTTGCCATCTATTGTTCCCAGCATTAGACTCTTCTCCAGGGAGTCCTTCCTTCTCATTTGGTGGCCAAAGTAATTGAGTTTCATCTTCAGGATCTGGCCTTCTAAAGAGCAGTCAGGGTTGATCTCCTCTAAGACTGACTGGTCTGATCGCCTTGCTGTCCAAGGGACTCGCAGGAGTCTTCTCCAGCACCACAATTCAAAGGCCTCAATCCTTTGGCGCTCAGCCTTCCTTATGGTCCAGCTTTCACAGCCATACATTGCAACTGGGAAAACCATAGCCTTGACTATACGCACTTTTGTCGGCAGGGTGATGTCTCTGCTTTTTAGTATGCTGTCTAGATTTGCCATAGCTTTCTTCCCAAGGAGCGTCTTTTAATTTCTTGGCTGCAGTCCCCATCTGCACTGATCTTGGAGCCCAGGAAAATAAAATCTGTCACTACCTCCATTTCTTCCCCATCTATTTGCCAGGAAGTGAGAGGACCGGATGCCATGATCTTAGTTTTCTTAATGTTGAGTTTCAAGCCAACTTTTGTGCTCTCCTCCTTCACCCGCATCAAGAGGCTCTTTAGTTCCTCTTCACGTTCTGCCATGAGAGTGGTATCATCTGCATATCTGAGGTTGTTGATATTTCTCCCAGCAATCTTAAATCCAACTGGTGATTCATCTAGCCCCGCCTTTCTCATAATTTGCTCTGCATATAAGTTAAACAGGCAGGGCGACACTATGCAGCCTTGCCAAACTCCTTTCTCAATTTTGAACCAATCAGTGGTTCTGTGCCCAGTTCTCACTGTTGCTTCTTGACCCGCATATAGGTTTCTCAAGAGACAAATAAGATGGTCAGGTACTCGCATCTCTTTAAGAACTTGCCACAATTTGTTGTGATCCATACAATAAAAGGCTTTAGCATAGTCAATGAAGCAGAAGTAGATGTTTTTCTGGACCTTCTTAGCTTTCTCCATGATCCAGCATATGTTGGCAATTTGATCTCTAGTTCCTCTCCTTCTTCGGAATCCTGCCTGTACTTCTGGTAGTTCTCGGTCCACATACTGCTGGAGCCTAGCTTGTAGGATTTTGAGCATAACTTTGCTAGCATGTGAAATGAGTGCAATGGTGTGGTAGTTTGAACACTCTTTGGCATTGTCCTTCTTTGGGATGGGAATGTAAACTGACCTTTTCCAATCCTGTGGCCACTGTTGAGTTTTCCAAATTTGCTGGCATATTGAGTGTAGCACTTTTACTGCATTGTCTTTTAAGATTTTGAACTTGCGTATTCTGAAAAGGAATCTGAGGAATTAAGAAAGATAGTAGAGACAAAATAGGAAATTCTCAGCCTTAGGGAGAATCTGTAAGTTATCAAAGCACCTGGTCCAGACAGTATCATCCTAGAGAACTAAACTATCCCACATATGGGCAACTGTACGCTTACCTCTCAGAGGAGGGTGGTGTTGCTTAACAAAGAACAGAGGAGGTCATAGAAGTTGCTGTATACTGCAACTTCTATACATCCATAGGTCCTGATTATGATTCCAGAAAGATGGTATGCCAGGAGAATGCAATGTGAACAATCCATTTGGCTAGCCTTTGTGATGAAATGGGAAAGCTCTTATGAGTACCACTACAGGCAGTGAAGAGTTTCTGAGATTGTCCTATAGGGCAGGTCCAGGATTTGTAAAATGCCAGTGCTGGGAAAAAGACAAGTAGAATAATGCCCTCATTGATTTGGAAAAGTGAGATAACTTTGGGTAAGAAACAGGGATCAGGGCGGAGCACCACTTATGAAACATAAGGTAAGAGGGACTGACCCAAAGAGCAGCTAGGTCACTGGCCCATCTGGCTGAGGTGATAGCTATAGGAAAGGAGGTTTTGAAGGAGATGAGGTGGAGGTCAGAGGAAGCCAGGGGCTTGAAGGGTTTTTCCATAAGTTAATGGAGAACTACTGAGCGGCTCCAGGCAGGGACAGGTTCATGAACTGGCAGAGCAAGGTACGTGAATCCTCTGAGGAAGCACCAGACCAGAGGATGAGAGAACATAAAATAGCCTTGGAGGGGAGCATGGAACTCAGGATTGCTGCGGCTTAAACCTGAATGGATGAGGGTTTAAGCCACTTTTGGTATAGGAAATGAAGGAAACATAGTACCTGGAGGGCTGAGGAGGTTCCTGGTTGCAAGCCTTGTTCTGCAGCAAAGGAAGAGAAGGCAATCCATTCTGAGTTGTATGAGTGCCTGGCAGCAGTTTTCAGGGAAGAATCCCGTATATACGTACAATATTTCTGGAGGAGCATCAGTCAGTGATGCGTATATTGATTGATCCACCATGCCATGAGGCACAGAATATGTACATAGAATATGTACATAATGACTCTGTGGTTCCTGGAAATGACATTGGAGTGAAGAGGGAGGTGTCTGAAGGTCTTGTCTGGAAGGTCGAGGAGATGGGGAAACCAGCTCTGTCTGGGCCACCAAAGTGGTTATTAGTATGCAGTTTGTGCGGTTGTGGTGGATCTTTACCAAGACCTTGCAGAAAAGAGGGAAAGGAGGAAATGAAAGGGAAAGTTTCCTTTCCCTGTGAGGAGTAAGGCATCCTCCATTAATCCCCTGCTAATTCCTGCCCGGGAGTGGAAGTGGTTGCACATCCTGCTGTCTTGCACGGCAAATAAGACTATTTGGGGATGTCCCCATGCTTCCCAGAGGGATGTGAGGATGGTGTGGTGAAGTTCCCATTTGTGTCATGTCGTAAAGTTCGACTCAGGGTGTCTGCCAGGATATTGTCAGGGCTCACAACATGGAGTGCCCAACAGGTAGTAGTGTGGTGGGCATACCACCTCAAATTTTGGTAGCGAGAAGTGCAAAAGGAGGAGACCTTTTTGTTTATGTATGCTACAACTGTGGTATCATCTGAAGTGACTTGCATGTGATGGTTCTGGACAATGTTCTGAAATGCCAAGAGAGCAAGTAGCTCTAGATAATTTATGTGACATGATGTCTCTGGGAAGCCCCATTTCCCATGCATCATTGAGTGGCCACAATGGATTTCCCATCCTGAGAGGAAGACATTCATTGTGATGACTAGGTTCAATGCGGAACAATTGAATGTAATGCCAGTGGTGGCACTGGCCTGGTTGGTTGATCAGGTGAATGTCTTGTGGATGTGAGGAGGGATACAAAGCCTGGTTGAGTGTGGCTTGGTTTTGGTGTTGAAGGAACTGAGGAAGCAGAGTTGGAGTGGACATAGATGTAGTCTGCAGAAAGGCATTACTGGAATGGAAGCATCTATGTGGCCAAGTACCCTCTAGAATCTGGTGGCAGTAGCAATGCCATCATTGATGAGACCAGTAACTTTCTGGGTGAGGGTGAGCAGTCTGTCCTCCGTCAGAAAGACCTGATGTAATGAGGAGTCTAGATGAACCCCTATAAACTGAATGGATTGTGAGGGGGAGAGACAGGATTTAGGAGTTTGATGTAAATGTAGTCTCTGACCTGTATGGTCCCTCAGTTGTGATATGGAAATATGTATCTTTGAGATCCACTGACATGAATCAGACATTCTTTTGCAAGAGAGGCAGGATGATCTGGAGAGAGACCATGC